CCTCAGGAGGTGAAGTGAGACTGATGTGCATTAATTGAAAACCACTCTAGTGTGAACACGATTAATGCACATCAATGTGCATTACTTTGGCCAGTGTGAAAAGGCCTTAAGTCACTCCTGGGTTAGTGTTGCGTATTTATAGTTAAATTGTATTGCTACCCTGGCATTTATTCGAATGCGGCTTCTATTTAAGGATTTACAGTAACTTGGCAGCTAGTGTTTACTCTGTGCTAATCAATTCTATTTTTAGAGTGTACCTTTGAAGTTGAGGCTATTATTAGTAATAGCATGCCACTGGTCATAATAATTAAGGTAATAGTGTTTTGGTATTAACTTAATTGATCATTTCTGTACATGGCAAATGAATTATTAATAATAGAAGTCACATTACATTTTCTGATACATATTGATGTTCTTATGCTGCGTAGAAAGTTTAAGGTGATTCCGACTTAAATTTTTAAAGTTAGGGCCATTTTAAGAAATCAGCCAATTTTTGAAAATATTCTTGTACTATAAAATGGCTCCGAAATCATCCCAAATTTTTGTTACATTTTCTGATGCATATTGATGCCCTTATGCCCCAATTGTTATATTTTATAGGATAATTGCATCAACCAACAGCCTACTCCATTGTCCTGTGAATTGACTGTGACTGGCTTAATTCAGTCATCAATAGATTGTCTTCATGAAAGATTGTTTATATTCACTAATGTCACTGAAGGAGATGAGTATAATTATACTGTTACTATTACTAATGTCATTGGATCTGCTGTTAAAAATGGCTTCATAGGTACATAATGAGTGTATTGAGAAATACAGCATACTCACTACATACATGATAATATTAATAAATATAATGTTTTGATGAGTAATGTTTCAATGAGTCTTAATGTTGATATTTGATAATTTTTTAATAGAAATCCCTTACTTACCATTTGAAGTGTATCCTTCAGAAATTCAGTATTTACCTTCAACAAAAACAATGATAAGTCCTTGTTCATTGAGTAAGTACCATATATCCTTAAATAGAAGCCGCATGTGAATAAACGCCAGGTAGCAATAGAATTCAACTATAAATACGCAACTCTAGCCAAAAAGTAACTCACTAGCCTTGTGGATACTGCCTGAAACTCCTGTAGTCAAGTACATGAGGTCATGGGTTTGAATCTCGCTTTGGGCCTAAGTTTTAAATATTTTTTTGAGGTCCAAATACCATTTTAGGAAATAGATACCCGGGCTTTTATTTAAGGAAATATGGTACATGTACATGTACCATGATATGATAATAATAATTAATATTATTTTATTGCTATTAGTATTAGGTACGGATTCAAGTACACCAGCCAGCACACCTTCAGATAGTTGCAATTGTGTCCTTCCTTGGACAGTTGGTGTATTAATTGGGGTAGCTGTGATGACTGTCATTTAATTTGTGATCAATGTCATAATTTATTTTGTCTCACATAATAGATGTAAAGGCAATAAACATATTTGTGCTGTGT